TCTTTATTGGGGACTAGAAAACTCTTACCCAGAGAGACCACGTTCCTTTGGTTTTCAAGCATGACTTCCGAATGCAGCGCTTTCTGGTCAGGATCCAGCTGAGACCATTCCTCCTCAGAGAAATGCACAGCCACCTCCTCGAAGGACACAAGACCCTCCTGAACACAGAAAAAAGAACAGAACAGGAGGATTCGCAAGATCTGTTAATCAACATCATAGATTTAGACAAGAGGATAGAAGGGAACTCATCAAATTTGCAGACAAGACCAAATTAACAGGAATACCAACACTCCAGAAGATAAGCTCGGGGTATAGAAGGATCGACAGATTGGGCCCCATCTAACAAAATGAAATCAACAGTGAGAAATGTAAGGTCTACATTTAGGAAAGAAAAACCAAATGCACTGGCATAAAATAGGTGATACCTGGCTCAACAGTAGTAAGTGCAACAGGGATATTGGAGTCCTAGTGTACAACCTCTTAAACCTGAGTCAGCGCTATGCTACAGTTGCCCCCCAAAAACCCAAACAGAATCATAGGCTACATTAAGAGGGATAGAATCAAGATGACATGAAGTGTTAGTACCACTTCATAAGGCCTTGGTAAGACTACACGTGGAAAATTGCATCCAGTTTTGGTTGCCAGATGTAAAAAAGATCTTGAGACTCTAGAAAGAGTGCAGAGAAGAGCAACAAAAATTATTAGTGGACTGGAGGCTAAAACATACAAAGAATGGTGGCTGGAATTGGGTATGTCTAGTTTCATGAAAAGAAGGTTTAGGGCATGGCATGATAGCAGTGTTCCAAGAAGCAATGGATGGAAACTATTCAAGGAGAGAACCAACTGACAAATAAAGAGAAATTTCCCGACAGAGAACAATTAACCAGGGGAATGACTTCTCTCCAGAAATTGTGGGTGCTCCAACACTGGAGGTGTTTATGAAGAAATTGGACAGCCATTTATCTGAAATGTTATAGGGCTTCCTGTATGAGCAGGGGGTTGGACTAAAGTAATCCCACTTCTGGATCAACCTATCTATCGCTCTGTCTATCATTGATTCCCTGGGAAAGTCATTTCTCAGCCTTGGCAAAGCGGGAATGTTTGATCTCCTAATTCATGCCTAAATCAGAGGATTGGAAATTATTTTGTAGGCCAAAGTACAGTGATTCCATACTCAACACGGCCACTCCCTTTGGATCTTAATAATCTGATTTATTTTTTTAATACAATTTGCTTATTTTTCAACTACAGGTTATAAATGAAGGTTTTTAAAACTGGTAATGTGGCAATTTATTATCCTTCCATAACTCTGAGTCAAAGAATTACCCAAAAAAAAAGGCTATCTAGCAGTTCCTGCCACTGTGATACCTTTATTCCTCTTTCTTGAAGGACGTTTAAAAAATTGCTTCTTGTAAACTCAAAGTAGGAGGAGAACCTAGCAGAACGAAATAACCAGAGGAAGCTATGCTGGCTGACAGCAACTTGAACCTCCTATTCTGCTCTCCATGTTGTGGAAGAACACAAAAATAATCCAGGCCAAACAAGGGGAAAAAAGAGAAGGAGAGAGCACTCTGCACACCTGCTTCACTTCCTGAAGGGAGAATACAAATCTAATAAACTTTTCCTTTTCTTACTTGATTTGGAGGTTCAGCTGCTGTTTGATCACCATCATAAAAACCAGAAAGATTCATTCCTTGCTTCTCTGTAAGGAATAAATAATTTCCAAATGCATAATTAACAAAATAGGAGGAGGTATTCCATAGAAGAGAAGAGAGAGCGAAGGGAAGACAGATGGGGAATCGGAGGATCTTCCATTCCCTCCTGAGGTGTCCTGACTTGGGTCTTCCCAAGGGATCCTCCTGAAAAATAGTTCCTGAGGGGGATTTGATGGGTTCTTCTTTCCCTCAGGATCTCTGATCTCCACAGTGCAGCGCTGCCAATAGGAAGGAAGGAAAAAGCAGAATGAATGTACGTCACACGACACAAAGTGGATTCTTATATTCGGAACACAACCTCAAGGCCCCCAATATCCATCTGTGTGGCTGAGTGAGAAAACTATGGAACAATATCCTACCAGAACTGGAGAATTGCCTCATATTGTGAACGTGGGAGAAGTCTGGGAAAGGAGGGGCGAACCATTCAAGCACTCTCTCTATTTATTCCCTTCTGAGCTCCCTAAAGTTCCCCACCTGCCACCGGAGCTGCTCCTTCTGCTCTTCCGCCTGGCTCAGGAGGAAGCCTTCCACCAGGGTCACCGCCTGGGAGCTGCTCTCTGCTCCACACTCCCTCACCCTCCATCTCTGGGGGCAGGAGAGCTAGGAGCTGCTCCAGAACCACCAGGTCCAGCATCTGTGCTTTGCTGTGCTTTCCTGGGCTCAGCCATCCCCTGCACAAGTCATGGAGTCGGCTGCAAAGTCCTTGGGGACCCTCATCCTCCCGGCATCAGATGGAGGTCCAGGGCGGAACTTCTGAAGGGAGGAGGGTTCCCACTGGTCTGGCTTTCTGGCAGGGGTTTTTGAACGGAATTCTGCTGCACGGTGCCCCTCTTTTCCACACTTAAGACAGCCAGATGGTCTTGGAGTCATGGTGGTTTGGGGTTTGAAAAACTCCCACTTTCCCTGGGATGGGGATCCTCTCCAAACTCTGCAGCTGCAGAACTGGTTACAGGCCATGTCTATCTCCGCCTCCTCTGCCATCAGGTACCATTCAAGCAGGAGCTTTGGGGCCCCACGGGCCAGGCAGGCAGTGTACAGTTCATCCGTCGTTGAGTCCATCTCTGAACCAACAGCCTAGGATATCTTCTGGCCAGTCGACTCGGCTAGCCAGGTCACGAAATTCCTCAGTGTACTCGGCTACCGGGTGACAGCCTTGCTTTATGACTCTAATGCGGTCGGTCGTGGGCTTTTCTATTGGCGAGGGGGTCTTTGAAGCACGTAGGGCTGTCATGAATTGATCGAACTTCCTCAGTTCTAGGGTGTAAACGTTGTGGAGGGTCATCATCCATCTGGCTGCTGCCCCTTCTAGGGCCAGGGTGACAACTCACACTTGGGCCCCCTGGGTCAGGAAATTCTGCCCTTGCATGTAGGTGAGGACTTGCGCCAGGAAGAATCCCACTTTCTGGGGGTCCCCATCCAATTTTACCCCCAAGGGCGGGACCTTTCTCTGCGGTTGTATGTCTCTGGGTTGGCCCGGGTTAATCCCCTGCTCTGGAGCAGCAAGGGGCCGGGTACCTGGTATGGCTGCTGATCCTCCGGCTTGTTCCATTGCTCGATCATTCTCAACTGGATCAGGGGTGACGGCTCGGGTCTCAATTTCTGGTTCACTCGCTCTCCTTCGTTGGTGACCTGGTTCATCCCACACATTGAGGCCCTCCAGGGCTTTCCTCACGAGGCGATTTATGTACCGTTTCAGTCGGTCGTCTGCCAGTGGTTCCTCAACCCATTCTTCCTGATCAGAAAGGGCCTCCAGCTCCATTTTCCACCTGGGTTTACGGTTACCCCGGGTGAGGATTACTCCCTTGGTTCTTCCATCCCAGCTGTCTCTCTTTCCTATGCCTATAGAACATCGGGGCTTCATGGAATTTTCACAGGCAGCTTCAATGTCTTTGATGGGGTACACGAAGTCAGTGTCTGGCTGGGTAGTTGTCAAAGTTTCTCCCCAGCATTCAGCTTCCCCTTGCTCCTTGCTATATTCAGACATTTTTTGCAGGGTCCCCTCGGTAGAGCGAAGTTCTTTCCAAAGAAAAAAAAATCCTCTCCGGGTTAGCATCTATTGCAGAGTCTGCTTTATGTGAGCAATAGGACTTTTCCCCTTCAACCAATTAGAATGAATTTCTGAAAGCTAGGTACTTCAAAAGGAATTCTTTATTGAAAGGAAGTGATCCAGATACTAGTCAAAGCAGAGTCTAAGATACCCCCAGGCATACAGGGACAGATAAAGGGAGTTAGAACCCCTCCCCTTATTCTGATGTGGATTTAGTCAAACAAAGAGACAACATGTTAATCCCCCCATTTTCTGGCAATGTATCTTAGAAAAGTTTCCCAGGAAGTTTCTTTCAGAGCTGGAATTTTTATGGTTCCTTCTCCTCTTGCTATCTCTCCAAGAGGTGACAAGGTTCCAGGCATCCAGCTCCAGTCATATATCATCTGCAAGTTATACAGATTCAATACAAGGTTTAAGATATTCAGGTTACATCAAAAAGGATTACTTGTACCAAATCCCCCCCACACCTTCTTCTTCCATTGAAGAATGGCAGATACAGGGATCTGACATGCTGAGTCCTTCCCATCTCCTTAGTGTCCTTCAGCTCCATACCACATGCTTCTTCTCAACCTTCCCCTTTGGGGTCAACTTTGTCCCACAGACACTCCTGAAAATCAGTGCTATTTTTGACAGCATTATTGGAACCTGCAAATTTCAGTTGTCTCGGAGAGATGAAATTCAATGTAGAGAAAAGTAAAGTCCTACACTTAGGCAAGAAAAATCAAAAGGACACATGTAGACTGGGTGAAACCAGATTTCTCAATAGCAGGAACTGTGAGAGAACTTGGAGTCTTAGTGGACAACCAGTTAAATAAGAGCCACAGTGTGCAACAGCAGCCAAAAAAGCCAATGTAATCCTATGTTGTAACAACAGAGAGATATAATCGAGGTCAAGTAAGGTGCTAATACCACTCTATAAAACCTTAGTAAGACCACACCTAGAGTACTGCATCCAGTTATGGTCACCACATTATAAAAAAGATGTTGAGGCTCTAGAAAAAGTGCAGAGAAGAGCAACCAGGATGATTAGGGGACTGGAGGATAAAACATAGGAAGAAAGGTTACAGGAACTGGGCCTGGCTAGTCTAGTAAAGAGAAGGATCAGGGGAGACATGATAGCAGTCTTCCAATATTTGAGGGGCTGCCACAGAGAGGAAGGGGTCAAGCTATTTTCTAAAGCACCTGTAGGCCAGACAAGGAATAATGGATGGAAACTGAACAAGGAGAGATTTAATCTGGAAATAAGGAGAAACTTTCTGACAGTGAGAACCATCAACCCATGGAACAGAAGTTGCCCTTGGAAGTTATGGGAGTGCCATCACTGGAGACTTTCAAGAAGAGATTGGACTGCCTTTTGTCAGAAATGGTGTAGGGTCTCCCGCTTGTGCGGGGGGTTGGACTAGATGACCTATAAGGTCCCTTCCAACTCTGATTATCTGTTAGCTGACCCTTGAAGTCCAAGGTCCACCTCTGGACCCCTCCCCTCAGACCAATTGGGGACCCCAGAGGGATAACCATGGGGTGGAGAGTGGGGAGGGTGTCTGACCTGAAGAAGAGAAGATGGGGGGGCAGTGGTGGGAGGAAGAGCTGCTTCCTTCCAGAAGACCCCAACTCTTCTCCCTCTTGGAAAAGGGGTACAAATTTAAGGAAGGCAGATTCTGGGGGAAGAATCTCTCAAGGAGTAGAAGAAGCTCTACAGAGCAAGGGGGTCTCCAAACTCGGCAACTATAAGACTTGTGGACTTCAACTCCCAGAATTCCTCAAGTAGCATAGCACGCTGTGGACTTCTGAGTTGAAGTCCACAAATCTTAAAGTTTGGGAACATCTGCACAGAGGAGTGAAGGAAAAAGAGGACTATGCTGCCCTCTGCTGGACGGTTGTGGAACTCATTGCTCAAACACATTTCCTGTTTCGTTTCTTGCAAAGTAATCTGACTTCACGTAAATGTGAATAATTAGGAAGTCGGCTTCAAAAGAGGAGGGGAAAGTTGTTTTCTTCTTAGTCCTCCAGCTTTCGTTTTCTGAACGCCCTGAAGGCAGAGCAGAAGATGTCTGATCTTCCTTAAAATAGATTCAGCAGGGAAGCAGATCCACCTGCCAGCGGGGATTCCCGATTCCCTCCAACCAGGTGAGTCTCAGGGCAGAAGCACTGAGATACACATCCCCCCAATTGGCATTTCATGGGGCAGCGGAGGGGAGTGGGGCAAGAGCAGGGCTCCTCCTGGGCATTCGGGGATATTTACGTAGTTATTTCCATATTTATACATAAGCATACCTAGTTATGCCTATTCATACTGTTGAAAGGCTGTCAAAATGCCTTTCTTCTGAGGGTTCGATTTTCCCACTGGGAGAGCTCTGGCGCAAGGATACGGACAACAGCTTGAAAGCCGGATCTTTTTATTTTTCAGGAAGGCGAGAGATAGCAAGAAGTCTGCGCTCCTGGGCTAGCTAGCTTCGTATGGTAAGTCCCTGGTTTTTATACCCTTTTTCTCCTTTTGTGTGTGAGTGCTTGTGTTTGCATTTCTTAATGTTTTAAATTCTGTCGGGGTTGTCTTGATTTCCACCGGAGGGTAAACTCCGCAGGGTGCGGAAGGCAAACTTTGCGGGGTGGTTTGATTGGATTATCGGTTTCGTCCTAATCTTTTTTAGCTTAATGGTTTCTTATATTTGTTTTGTGGCAATCTCCTGTCTGTCTCCTTTGTGTTATATTTTGTGTCTTTTGTCTGTTTGTTTTGCTGATTTGGCATGTCTTGTGTTTGTAAGGGTTTTCTTTTCTTGTTTCCCTAGTTTTCTTAATTATTTGGGCTTTTGTCTAAGGGGCTTCTTTAATATCTTTTATTTGATTCCTTTTCCTATGCAAGTTTGTTTTATGGCTGACCTGATGTTCCCTTTGGGTTTTTCCTGCTTGGGTGACACCACTGTCCTCGTGAAGTTCCCTTTCCACGATCCTTAATTTTTTTTTCTAGAGGGTGATTGTATGTCTGGGTATACTTGGTATTCGTGATCAATCTGGATCATCATCATGGCTGCCTGTCGCCCTTTTAATTTTCTCCTTTGAGAGGGAATACAGGCCTTTAGGCAGCTAAGGCAGGGTGGTATGCATCGACAGAGGCAACACAAGAGGGCTCCAAAGACACAAATGGTGACTGTGGTTGCTATAAGGATTTTGAGCCAATGGAGATCTGGCATCCATAAGAAGAGCCATGAAAAGTCCAGGAATGATTGCTCCTGACCAATATTCTGAGCTAGCTCTTTCAGGTGGTGGATGTCCCTCCCTACGAGTTCTGAGGTTTCGTCCAGATTGAAGCAACGCATCCCTTGGAATATTTCGCAGCCATAATTATGCTTCAAGGGAAGGAAGTCTATTGCTGCCCTATTCTCCAGGGTGGCTTCTCTGACCTCCCTCAGTTCTCTGTTAAGGGCATCCAGGGCATGGGAGGTCGAATTCAAGCCTTTTGCCAGGGTACATGCTAGTCTATTCAAATTTTTAGAATTTCGCACTGCCAATCCAGGTACCCCTACCAGGGATATTGCCAATGAGACATATTCTGTTTTGATGGGAAGGGAGACTTTGGAGTCACAGTCTGAGTCTAGGGTTTGGAAGGCTCTCCTGTGTCGTCTCTGTAAGGATGGCATAAGCATGGTTAACCTTCCCAAGGTGCAGGGGCCATTTGTGGCATTTGCAGGATGGTATGAGTAGGCTTTTAAGCCGCAAAGAAAA